CTGTCCTCCCATTTCTTTCTCCATCCTCCCTACCCTCCCCACCCCCCAGCCGTGGATCTCAACCCAGCGAAGCAGACCCTCCCCCTGCACGCTGCCGGCCGCTGACCCCAGCGCCGCCTCCTCGTTCCTGGAAGACTCTAGTGCCTGCTGCCCGTCCCTCTGCCAACCGCCACTCCTGTCCTGGTTCTTGCCGACTTCCTAACCCTCCGTTCCATCCTGCTCCGTCCTCATCCTGGGACCTCCTCCCTTGGATTCCTCCCTGGCCTACCCTCTCACTTCCTTTGGTTCTTACGCGAACATCGCCTCCTCGGAAGGCCTTGGTTAGCGCCCGTGGCACAGACCCCATGGCCCGCCCTTCCTGTCCTCCTGTCCTCCCTTAGTGCCTCCATGGCGCTCGTCTAGATGGAATGGAATTGGTGTTTCCTCATTTGGTCATTATCTGCCTCTCTCGCTGGAAGATAAGCCCCTCAGTGGCAGGGCTTCGTTTCGTTCACACTTGTAGCTCCACTGCCCAAAACAGCATCTGCAAATCTGTGGACATTAACAATTTGTATGAATGAATGAATGAATGACATACCAAGCACCAAGGCAATGAGGGCCCGAGATACCCGAAGGTGGCTGTTCCCACCGCCCCCCCCCGAGTCTAGGCCCCCCTCACTGAGATCCTCTCACTTGTTCTGAGTGTCTCCTAGGAGCCAGGATCCCTCCTAGAAAGACGCATGCAATTCTGTCATAATCAATTGTGTCCTTTCCTCATTGGTTTGTACCTTTTAAAAAATTGCTTTTCTGAACTCTAGATATGAAGATACATGTACAATTGGGGATATTCAAAAAAGCTGATTAGGAAGCCCCTGGGAAGTTTTAGGCGGAGGAGAGACAGGTCGCGGTTAAGGGAAAAAATGAATCCCTCTAGCTTCTGGGTTCAGGGGGGGTTGTGCAGTGGCAGCTGTGCGTGTGTGTGTGTGTGTGTGTGTGTGTGTGTGTGTGTGTGTGTGTGTGTGTGTGTG